TTGACAGTTGTGTTTCTGACTGTTTCTTTAAAAAAAGATAATAAACTAATTTTAATTTTTTATTTTTAAAACGTCGTTGGATAATTTGAATGCTTTTAGAGACCCCGTATGGGCACATATATCCTAACTTATTATAATCGACGTGCAGTTTATGGTCAAAATGATATATGCAATACTAGGGTGGTCCCTATTTAGGGGTAGAAAAAAATTAAACTGGGCTGCCTCCTAAATTCAAATAATAAAAAAACAATTCCTGAAAGAGAGGCTTTTGTTTGAAATAATTAAGAAAATTCGGAAGCGTGATATAACGTTTGGCAGCGGTGTATCGTAAAAAAAATATGATTTTTTTATTTTTTTTATAAGATAAACAACTTTCTTGCTTACAATTCAAAAAGCCATAAAACGCTTTTTTTGGGTACTCTAACCTATTTTCTATATAAGAGCCAATTACATAAATTGTAGGGGACAATGCGCCCTACATTTTTTGTTTACAAAAATCTTTGGTTTTAAGATTTAGGAAATTTTAAAAATTTATAAAATTTTCAAAACTTAATATTTTCAAAATTGTTTGTAAACGAAACATGTTATTGGTCTCTATAGGACGATGTCAAACATTTTCCCCTACAATTTATGTCATTGGTCGAGGCCCTATAGGACAAAAAATAGGTGGCGCTATAGAATTGCTAAAAAAACAAATGCCATATATTGCATGGTATATATTATATAGTATAACTGTATATACACTGCCCGTCAAAATTAAAATTCTTTATCAAATTTTGTATAAAAATAAACTTCAACTTATATCTTAGTTTACGTATTAACGAGTTTTTCGAGAAAATATCCTTAAAGCCTTTTTATTTAACAATAAAAAACGCTCGAAAAAAAAAATTTCCGAACTAAAATTATGCACCGTTGTTATTGGTAAATATTTTTTATTAAATTCATTCATTCATAATATTATGCAATTTTAGAAGCCACACGTTTAAGAGTGGAGAACGCCTCGGAGCATGAGATTTTAAAGGAAATAGGCCTATCATTAGCGACATCTGGTGATCGCCAAGGGGGTAGAAAGGATAGAGTGGTAAATATTTTTTGTATCAACTAATGTAGGTATATCGCGTCAAATTGCTTTAACTGGATAATTTTTTACAAATTCAGTAATTTACTCGAAGTTTTATAATCAATGCAACCACTATAAATAAATATTTGTCTTTGCAACAAAGATATGGATATATGTTTTAGCCAAGCAAAATTTCAGTGGCAGCTGGTGGATTTTGGGCACACCCATATCTCAGTTATTAGACACACTAACTTTTTTTCACAAACTTCAATTTACATTCTGCTTGCGCAGAACTTGTCTATATAATGTCATTATAAACACATATAATTTGGATGTGGGTCCCATGTCTAATAAGTGAGATATGGGTGCGCCCAAAATCCACCAGCGCCACTGCAAAATTTTACCAATTCATACACACAAATTTTAAAATGTGTTTTTTACTCCAATTGCATAATATTAACATTATTTAGTTTGTTTACATGTATAATGGTATTTATTATAACCGCTTGACAACGGGAATAATGTTAGTTATCATATTGAATTAATTTAGTTTTAAAAATTGTTTATATAGAGTAGAAAAAGCATAGTATTAACCTCGAGATAATGCGCATTATTCACTCGCATGATCTAGCTAATTAGGTATCTCGCCTGGCGGCTTGCGACGCAAACCTCATCCTCGTGAATAATAGCTTGCATTATCTCTCGTATTCAATTATGTGATTTTTAAGTTATCTAGTTTTAGTATTAAGGGAAATATATTATTTTATTTTAATTTTTTATTTATTTTAGAGAAACGTTGCACCAACAGAAACATAGAATGTATATAATAGTTATATTATATGTATCATATATTATATATAAGAAATGTTTTAAAAATTATTTTTATTTCTTGTTTATTTAAAAAATTCTTTATTTTGTTATGTTTATATATGAGTACCTTAGATGCAAAACTCGGTTTTTGCAAATTAAAAAATAAAATAAAATTGACTTTAAATTCTGTTTAGTGTTCGTCCTAGATAAATGGCGTTTATAAAACTTGATACATAATAATATATATAATATAATATTATTATGTATCAAGTTTTATGAACGCCATTTATCTAGGACGAACACTAAACAGAATTTAAAGTCAATTTTATTTTATTTTTTAATTTGCAAAAACCGAGTTTTGCATCTAAGGTACTCATATAGAAGTACCTATTATTTTATTTTGTTATAAAGCAAATGTGCAATAAATATTTTATTTTTTATTAGTTTATCGTTTTTGATTTCCCTATACAGAATTTAAGTAAGTAAACAACATTATAGGAGCCTATATATAATAATCTATTATAATATATATTATTATTATATATTATATAATAATATATATATATGAAAAATATGTAACGAATAAATATTACTTTGTTATACCGTTTTCAACATATCTCCAATATTAGTCATGTAATATAAATGCTATAAATAATTAATAATATTGACCCAAAATACGTAAAATATATTGATGTAATATAGCTCTTTTCTTATTTCTTCAATATTACTCACAAATATTTAACCAAGTAAACTGGACTATTTTGGTTCAATATGTTTAACACATCATTAAAGCAATATTAGAAATTAATATTGCACCAATATATTATATAATATATAATAATAATATATATATGAAAAATATGTAACGAATAAATATTAGTAATGTAATATTAATGCTATAAATAATTAATAATATTGACACAAAATACGTAAAATATATTGATGTAATATAGTTCTTTGCTTATTTCTTCAATATTACACACAAATATTTAACCAAGTAAACTGGACTATTTTGGTTCAATATGTTTAACACATCATTAAAGCAATATTAGAAATTAATATTGCACCAATGTAGACAAATGTTCACATTTACTTATTGGGTACATATTAGCAAAACAATATTTTACCAATCTGATACGAATATTTATAGAATATTGGGCCAATAAAAGTGTTCTAAAAAACGCTTTATAAAGCGTTTTTCACCAACTTTGATACAAGTACTTATGAAGTAGATACTCGTTACTTGACCCAAGTAACTTTTGTCAAAATTGTCCATTGGCGTACATACAGGGGTTGTTTCACTTTTTCCGCCCAGGATTTCACTGAAAAATAACTCGACATGCATTGTTTTATTTTCTTCAAAACTTCCCCTAAAGCCCTTCAAAATTCAATTTTAAGATTTATCTTTTTGTTATAACTCTCATATCGTTTAAGAATATTTGATTAAATTTGGTATAGGTATTTAAAATAGGTAATCAACACTTGACGTATTTTTATTTAAAATTATCAAGTGGCCTGATGCGCTTTATCCAATAAAATTAGGGCGGCCCCACTCTAGTATGAACTGTCAGTCTTAAACAACTGAAATAGCTGTCAGAGTGTTAATAAAGGTTTTCTTTTATTTTTTACAGTCTGTTAGAGTTTAGAGTTAATACAAGTACCTATCCTGTAATCATAAATATGCCTTTTCGATTCACGAACCAAGAATACGCCGATATTCACTTCATTTATGGATTTTGTGATGGGAACGCGTTGCAAGCAGTTCAAGAATATCAAAGGCGTTTTACCAATAAACGACAGCCACATCGCAAGGTCTTTGAGAATGTACACAACCTATTGGTGACACAATCACATCAGTGAAATCCTGAGCGGAAAAAGTGAAACAACCCCTGTATCTACGCCAATGGACAATTTTTACAAAAGTTACTTGGATCAAGTAACGAGTATCTATTTACTAAGTACATGTACAGTCCGTTCAGGCTAAGTTGAGCGCTTTGGTGGGGGACAATGTGGCCGTTGATTAAATTAAATATCGAATCGTCGCGAGATTTCGGTAACAAGAAGATGATTTATCAGTGCCGCGGCTTGCCGTTTGTTCGTACAGAGCGGCTACCGAAATACATGTATTTAATTGTGCCTGCCATGAGATGATGGACAGGGTGACATTCCTTAGACCGCTCAACTTAGCCTGAACGGACAGTATCAAAGTTGGTAAAAAACGCTTTAGCGATCTTAGAGTTAGAGTTATGACAAAAAAAAGAAATTTAAAAGTGAACTTTGCAGTACTGTATGTTTTTTTTAAACTCAATTATCTCGTAAACAAAGCCTTAAATCAAAATTTGACAGGAGTGTCTTTTTTTCTCAAAATTGAACAAGGAATTAGAAAAATAGGTCAATTTAAACCAATATCCAGTGGCGTAAAAAATGGGGTGGAAAAAGTGAAACAACCCCCCTGTATCTACGTCACTGGACAATTTTGACAAAAGTTACTTACGTCAGGTAACGAGTACCTATTTCATAAGTACTTGTACCAAATTTGGACAAAAACGCTTTTATTTCCTGAAAGTTATGGCAAAAAAAAATTTTTAAAACTCAACTTTGAAGGGCTCTATCTCCCTTAGGAGGGGTTTTGGAGAAAAAAATTACCATGCATGTCGACTTATTTTTCGATGGACTATCGAATGGTGAATTATTGCTACTATAACCTGGACCACCCTGTTTATACCGATAGGTTATAAATATCAGTTGAATATGTGCGTCTGTGATTGCACAGCTAAACAATGATTGGAGTGGGACTGGATCTACTCAGTAACTAATAATGGCTAGTTATAAGTTAAGTTCCTGGGTATAAGTGGCCATAAGGGCTAGGAGTAATCCCCAAATTATATTAAGGGACATTTTCCTAACAATACTTAAGTCTTATGCATGCCGCTACATGGAATATTCTTTTTATAAGGACTGGGTTAACCAAAAAGCGGACATTTCATTACACCAGGAATATTCCTGGGAATATTCTAGTACGCTTGGAATAATCTTGGGAATATTCCTGACATGTGCATGGAATGGAGTTTTGCGGTCTGGGAAGATGGGACTTTTGGGTGTCGAGCATAGTAGGTACTTTAATACTTACTAATCGAATACCAATTGTTTTATAGTCATCAAGGCACACAAATTAATAAAAATCTTTTCATTCGTCCTCCTCCTCACAACATCGAACTGCGACATGTATTTGGTCCAATACTCGAAACTCTCCGTGTTAAATTCTTCGACTGCATCCACCACTACGACGTCTGGTTCCGGTAACCAACCCTTGGAAGCGGATTCCATGTCGTTCAGGTGGTTCTGCCACAAGTGGTATTCGAACCAAGCCTTCGTGATCTCCTCCTCTTTTTCTATCAAGGGTCGTATGTCGCTTGGTATCGTTTTGACAAAGTGTTTGCAGTCTGATTCCAAACTGTTGTTTTTGCTCGATTTGTTTGAAACGTTTACCATAACATATTCTAAAATAATATACCTATATTAAAATTGAAGTAATTATTTTATATGTAATGCTACAAACACACGTATACTCCTTAATGTAGTTATTTATTATGTTCGAGATTATATTTCAAAAATGCCGTCGAAAAGCCCGCGGGCCCCGATCCTAATCCCAAAGTTACGGATCAAATTGTCATTTTTGAAATAAAATCGCGGTTATCTCTGGAACTAAAAAATTTATGAGATAATAGATTTTAGGATTTTTTTAGGTTTGCAAACAAAATATCCCAGGCAGCAATTTAAGTATTTGTTACATATATGGGACTATTGAAGAAACTTTATAGTGTTTTGCGACAGTCGCCGGTCTCTTTATATTTCTCTTTCATTCCTAAGTTACGACTAAAGTGGGGAACAATTATTGAGTTCCAAAAAGGTAGCAAATATGTCACTAGCTATAAACCCTGCTACTATTTGGAACGTAGCTGCTATGTTACTAGAACGTTTCAATATCGTTGCTAGAGCGTTATAATTACTTTTATTTATTTGTTTTTACTTCTATATTAACTGTCTTTGTCAAACTTATATTAGATTATACTATCCCTCCTTTTTTAAATGGAACCACTACGGACTTGGCTTTTCAATGTCGTCGTTTATTAAATAGGTACTGGTAGTTCATAACTTCCAGAATAACAATATAATGTTTAATTAGGCAGGTAAATTTATAAACCCTTTAAATTTTACTGTTGAACTTATGAATTTAGTTTTTCTAAAATAAATGCGCTTCATCAATATTTAAGTATAAACAAATTATTTATTTAATAATGTTTGTAAATAAAAAAATCTTAATATTTATTATTCATTTTTTATTTAATTATTAATACTGTCTATTACCAACAAAATTACTATTTAATAAAAAGTAAACAACAATTTACAAACAATTAAAATAATTTATTATTTACATTACCATATGGTACCACGTGGTACTTGTACAGTAAAAAATGGCCGATAAGAAGCATTTTCCTTTGAAGTAGTTTTCGCTACTTTAAAGTTTTTTTCCACCTTAATTTACTTTACGGTAGTTTTGGATAGTACCATAAACGTTCCAAATACTAAAATAATAACTTTTAAGTTATTAACTTTGTAGTTTTTAACTCATGTTCCAGTTTCGAGGTTTTAACCTGCAAAGGGACTAGAAAGTAAAAATAATTATAATGTAATCTTTAGGTAGCAACTTAAAGTAACTGCTACAAATTAAATTTACTTGAAAGTTTTTTTTACTTATAACACCTTTTTTAAAGTTGGAAAGTCTTCTTGGGGGCAACCAAGTTTTACTTAAATGTTTATTACTTTATAGTAACCATTTGAGGGAAGAGTGAAGTTTCTGTTACCAAATATATATTGCTATTTAAAAGTTAGAATTACTTTTTAAGTAAAAATTAAAGTAGCTGTTTAGTATACTAATTTAAAGTTATCTCCACTTTGGTAATGGTTTTTGGAATCAAAAATGCTGCTTGAGATAAATATACCAAAACAAATTTTTTCGTCTTAAAAATTTAAGTAACAAAATAATAAAAACTACTTTGTTATTTTTTTTCCTCCTAGGGGATAATATACTATCGCTAACAAAAAAAACTCATACAGCTATATTGTGGCTGTGTGAATAAAACTTTTCCGTCAATGTCAAGCTGACATCGAGCTTTGTCACATCCATTATGACTTTTTTAACAACATTTTCAACCAAACAATGCAGACGAACTCTGGCAAGCCATTGAAGCCATTTGGAACGAGATAAAGCAAGGCGGCGACTTCCATGCTTTGCCGTTTGCAGGCAGTAATTGACAAAAACAGAGGGATGATGAAATATTATTTTTTTTTTAAACTTCAACCTAACTTTGTATTTAATTTTAGAACTTTCAAATGTGACGTATCATGTTAAAAGCCATAATTACTCCAACGAAATGATAGAAAATCAGGAACACTAGATTCTTAAGCTGTATGAGTTTTTTTTGTTAGCGATAGTACCCACACAGAACACGCTATCCAATGGATATCCAATGGCTATCCCAATGTCCATATAACATCCATGCCTTTTACGATATCCATTGGATATCCAATGGATATCCATACTGGATGTTCAAAAAAAACAAAAACATTAAAAATATTTTTTTCTTTTTTAAAATAGCCCCTTAAAGGATAAATTTATGTAATGATTAATAAATATGATTTAAATCGTTATTAACCCAATTTCAACAAAGTATCTCTAATATATATCCAATGGATAACTAATGTATGTCCAAAGTATATCCACTGTACATCTAATGTATATCCACTGGATATCCACTGGATATCCGGTGGATAACTGATATGGATATCTTGTATATATACTTGTATGTATACATGTGGGATTTTGTGATGGTTTAAACTAGCATATGTAAAAAAAAAACGACTTTACGTTAAATTGATTTTTTGCCAAGAGCTACGAAATTTTTAATTTTGAAATGTTCACTTTACCCAGATAATAATATTTATATATTAATAATATTAATTCTGTTAATAATATGACTATGACAGTCTGCAATACAATAAAAAATTACTTAAAAAAGTCCTTTTTGTTTATTATTGTATTTCATATATGTACTACGCACGCGCTGAATTTGAGAATCTTCAGTGTTGCCGGTTATAAGCAAAATAACTAAACGAAATATATTTCCGTACTTTATTAAGTTTTAATAAATAAATTAAATAAATTTAAAATAATTATTCACCACATTTATGTCAAATAGGTATACTAGGTATACTAATTAATTAAGTATTAAAGCTTTAATAATATAACCGCCATTTTGATGAGCTTTCTGAAATTATTTAAACGTCTGACAACACTGCCGGCGAAAACAGAAGATAAATGTCACCATATTACCTTGCCGCTGCATCTCGCCGCTGTCCAGGTCGTCCAACTAGTATATAGGTGGGCGGTTGCTTGGCTTGAAGCGTGTCTCTCGGCACCAACTGCCTGACACTGATGAGACCCAACAGGTTGAAACAGTCTGTCTGTCAGTGTTGGTGGGCATGGTACTACATTAGTCATTGTGCCATGTCAACCCGAGAGATGCGTTTCGGGCCAGGCACGGTGGAGAGATGTGTCGGCTTGTGTAATATTTGTCATTTTGGTTGCCTAACTACTGGCGTAGTAGTAAAACCTTGGCAATTTTTAACAAATGGGTTGATGGATTGGCCAAATTTTGGGGATCATAAGGAGACAGGTGAAATAGGCCCTAAATGATTAGGCTGATAAAAAGGCAAATGACAGCTGGAGGAGTGATGGCAAGCACTTCTTTAGTTATATGTAGTTTTCTGTTCTATTTTATGTTTTCATAAAAATAAATATTTAATAAGACTTTTATTTTAAAACCCAATGTTATTTATTGAAAAGTAAATATCCATTGATTCACCATATCCAATACAGATGACAACCATATTGCATACAATACTATATCCACTGGGTATCCATTGGATATCCACACTATGTCCAGGAGGGTCGGACATTTATATATCCAATGGTTATCCATTGGATATCCATACAATCTCCATATTGAATACAGATTACAACCTTATTGCATACAATACTATATCCACTGGGTATCCATTGGATATCCACACTATGTCCAGGAGGGTCGGACATTTATATATCCAATGGTTATCCATTGGATATCCCGGATATCCTATGTATATCCTGGATATCCATAAAAGAAATCCATTGGATATCCATTGGATGTAATTGTTCCGTGTGGGTACCTAGTTAATGTCACTTTATTGATTAAAAATATTTTTTTTTATTTTGAAGTAATTATAAGTATATATAGCTATAGGCCCAGGTAGGCAGAAAGCCCTAGGGCAGTCCCTAAATACATATATTTATGTTGTATTTACTGTTAAAATCAAAATCGGAATCATCAGAATCTATTGATATGTTAACTGAAGATTCCACCAAATTCTCTACGTTCATCTTTGATTCTTCCCCCATATCTTCCATTAACACTTCAGTTACGTCATCCAAAATTCCCTTCCTATTTACTGTTTCCGTCACTGTCTCAATATCACTTGATAAACCTAAGAAAAACATTTACCTTTTACCATGATCAAAACTTTACATTATTTTTACAATCCAGCTCATTCATATACACCGCTTTGGGTATCTTAAAAATCTCTGTCTTTTCGTCAAACTCCAATGCTACATAACTCAGATTATTCGAAGAGTTCGAGGCCATAGACAAGCTCGATTTAGAAAGAGTTGCGCCGGATATACTTTCAACAGAAACCGTCGATACAACGCTCTCAAAATCTTCTTTTATTTGCAGCTGAAACAAATCATCAGGGGGGCCCAAATTTTGACCACACTGTATACGTTCATCAGCGGCTGCAACTGTTTCTGTGAAAATTCCGAATATTTCTTTTCTCGTCAAAAAAGGTTTCTCTAAAGAAAAAAATATGTTTTACAAATTTTAAAAGATGATAATATGAAACCTCCCTGTGATAATATGGGGTCACAAATTACCAATGTAGTAAATGTATTCCTATAATTTACCTCTTATTAAGTTAAAAACATAAAGCACCCATTTAAGAACAATAATTTGATACTCTTCTGGAAAAAAATATTCGTCTTGTGTCCTCCAAATACATTCTGCAACAATATCCAGAAACCAAAATTGCGACATGCTTATTTTATACTCCTTGCATTGAAAATATTCAGCTAGATGGTCAATCGTAGCTTTCACCCCAATTTCCCTTACTTTCGGTATTGTAAAATCCTTTAAATCTAAGGAAAATTCCGGTAAAGGTACACATTCTATATTAAAAGAAAATCTGCTGTTTGGGGAGTTTGGAGGAACTTCTGGATAATCACTCATTCCTAGAACAATTAAAAAATTAAATAAAAAGTCAATTTGGCACATTTATATCAATTTAAACATGACTTACAGTATTCTGGTTCTAGTTTAACTACACTAAAATAGACGTCGCGACGCGTCGCCTCAAATCAAAAATGTTATCTGGGTTGCGGCATTATACATTATTTGTATTCTGGGTTGCGGTAACAAAACTTGACGTTTTAAAAGTCAAATACATTTGGCAACACTGCCGTTGAATGCATCTCATTTGTGCGTAATTATCAATCAAAATTTTGTGAGAATTACGTAATTAATAATAATACATATTAATTCATCGAAAGTTTAATTATATTTCATAGAAGATTATATTAAAAAACTAATAATGTGAAAAGTCGACGAATATCGAATTGGTTAATGTCAACCTGTCAAAGTGTAATAAAATTACTTTTTGATATAAATAACTTTCGAACGAACTATAATTTAATCAACAAATAGGAATTAATTGTAAGTATTAATGTGGAAAATTACTGCTTTAGTGGTTAAAAAACTTGTGAAAATTACATACATTTTAAGGTTAGATTTTCCACTTGAGATGGGTGGTGAAAACGAACAGGTTTATAAATATAATTTTCGCATGTATTTAAAGACGTAGTTTGTATCGTAATGCCAAAGCTTTGTTTATTTTGTTTTTGTGGTTTTTATTTCATATTAACTTAAACTGTGCTTTGCTGTTTGACACAAATTATTTCCATTTCGAGTTTAGGTTTGTCAATTTAAGTATTTAAATTCAATTTATATTGAGTATTTTACTATAAAAGCAGTAATTGTTCATTTAAAAAGTAATAAAAATGATGTTTATTGTTAAACTCAGTCATGTGATATAAACTATGCATACAAAATGATTTTTTGTCATGCATAATTTTGTATTTTACACTATATTTGCTTATAAATGTTTTTTATTTCTAATGAAATCCATATCTATTGAAAAAACTTTTGTGGAAACGGGTTATATTGTTGAGTGAAGGCTCAACAGTTATACATTTAACTTAAAATCCTAAATCATTAAAATTGGATAGCGCCAAAAACTTTTTCTGGGGTAAACAAAATTATTTGCAAAATAACTCATTTTTATAGGTGCAAAAAAAATTTATAATGATTTAGGAACCTTCTCAATACCTTTGGGAAAAGTTCCAAATGATGATTAACCTTTTGAGTTAGTTATTTTACAAATAATTTTACCAAGCCTAGAAAAAGTTTTTGGCGCTTGGTTCCTTTTTGATAAGTGTTATGCAATTAAAGTAAAAACCAAATTAATTGCCAAAAATATTTTAGTATTTTTTTATTTTTTACTTTTAAGAATGTCAACATAAGCCAGATATAATTGTTTTAAGAATTTTAACTTAAACCATAATATAGTTAATGTTATAAGGCTGAGATGTGAGTCTTTTTGTGCTGAGTTTAGAGTTTAAAGTGGAGGCCTATGATTGAGCAAATCACAAAAAGTCACTTCTCAGCTAAATGGCACAGCATAAAACTAAAATTTAACATTTTAATCTATTTTTTATAGTTTCAAAAATGTTAAAACATACCTGCATTCCAGCAATAGATATGGATTTCACTATATGTATTTTATTTCCTCACTTGTATTTTTTGTTTTAGTTTGGGCTGTAATTAGAACACTGCATGATATATGTTGTAAAATAGTTGCACTGTAAACCCAAAAACAGAAAACAATTGCATGACATGGCAGCCTACCTCAACCGCACAATATCAATGATGTCAGGGGACGGTCCTCACAACCGCCCCGCCGTCACCACTGTCTTGAGTGATCACAGAAGTGGACGAACATCAATTGACAATTCGCCTTTGCAGATTTTTGTCAAGGCTAAGAAAAAAATCAATGATATTTTTATCGAAATTGAGGACTATGTCAAAGATACTGTTGAATATATTCACGGTAAGAACTGTTTTGTTGGTTTCCTTAATTTTTACGTTTGTTTCATAAAGTTATAGGTAGTTCTAATAGTTTATGATTTGTTAACTCATATTCTTAAAATATTGTTAACATAGCCCCAAATTTTGACAGTTATTGTTAACATAACCAGCCCCAAATTTTGACAGTTATTGTTAACATAACCAGTGTTTAACTAGAGATTTTGCAATAAAATCTCCGGGTTCTCCAGGTTAACAATAAAAATATAATAATCTTCCAAAAATAATCTTATTTTAATTTTCAATTTATCGACTTAAATACATTTTACATCGCCGTTTTATTAATTTTTATACTAGTAGAAATTAATGACATGCGTGAAGAATTCCCCAGAGATTTCTACCTACCGCGACAATAACATTCATTTGTTAAAAAAAAGACAAATGAATGAAAACTGACCGGGCATTTCGGTGAAAAACTGATATTGATTTGGATCAAGCAACAACAGGTTTAGATTGTGCACATACAGATGTATACATATACCTTATGTTCACTTTGAAATTACATGTAATTTCAAAGATCCACCAACTTATAATTATTAGGTATTTAATATAAAATTATTAAATTATTATTTAATATAAAATCTAAAGCCATAGATATGGCCATTAAATGAGGCATCGGTCAGAAAAAAGGCAACCAAAAGTGAACAAGCACTACTACTACTACTTTTATATTTTTATTTTTTATTGTTTGTACATTTTTGTTGTATTGTTGTGAGAGGATGAATCCGTATAGAGTGTTAACGTGCACTCTCTGGATTTTTCAAAATAAACGTATTTTCTTTCTTTCTTTCTTTCTTTGATGAACTTGCTTTTGACCATCGTTTTGAAAACAGAATATTTTAAGGTGAATTCACATCAATGTTTATAACTTTGTTATTGACATAATTTGCAATCAGATTTCTAGGACATTTTCTGCCATGCTCAATATAAAAAACTTTTAATTTTTTTGAACCCCTTGTATTTAATCAAAAGCTCAAAAGAAATTTTTTTATAAATATCCGAACGTGTTGACCAATTGTTTTGCAAATCAGTTTCAAATGTTGAATGTGAATGTCCATTGCGTCCCGTACTGTTCCTTATTTAGGGCTCGAGAGCAAAAAGTTTTAAAAATATGTATTAAATTCAATGTTGTTAAATCATTTTTTTACATGTTGTCCGCAACGATATAATAAACTCATATAATTATGATATTACATCAGCTATCCACTAAATTATTTTGTTTTACTCAATGACAATTATAAATTTAGGGTCCCTAGAATTTCCCAATTAAACCCCCAAACTTTTAACGTTGTCAAATTCCGAATAAAAACTATCTGTATATCTTCAGGTCATCTGTGATCTGAAGCTGGCAGCCCTATGTTTAACATATTATGTTATTATTGTTCTTTGTTGCAAATATTTTTTGATTATAGTGTTCAAATATTAAATTTTACAATTTTTAGAGATTGAAAAGAATCAACAAATAATAACAAAGGAGAAAATTGCCCAAACCGAGGAATTTGTGAATAAAGTACATGGAATTAAGGATGTACTTTGCAGAGATCACATGAAAGTGGCTTTTTTTGGAAGGACCTCCAATGGAAAAAGTTCAGTTATTAATGCTATGTTAAGGGAAAAGATTTTACCCAGTGGAATTGGACACACAACTAACTGTTTTCTTCAAGTAAGTTTTCACAATCACATTCTATAAACCAATGATTTGTTATTTTATTAAATAAAACTTTAACAATTAGGTATTAAAATCTTCTTTTAGGTTGAAGGTTCTACATCAGAAGAACCTTACTTAATTCTTGAAGATTCAGACAAACACTGCCCAGTAGAGTCTGTAGGGCAGCTAGCTCACGCGTTGTGCAAGGAAAAACTAAACGAATCCCAAATGGTTAAAGTGTACTGGCCCAAAAATAGATGTTTGTTGCTTAGAGATGATGTAGTGTTTGTAGACTCACCTGGTGTAGATGTTACCCCAAATTTGGACGAATGGATTGAGAAACATTGTTTGGATGCTGATGTTTTCGTTTTGGTTGCTAATGCTGAGTCAACATTGATGGTTACTGTAAGTTGGACAAATACATTTTATTTTTTATTATAACATATTTGTTATAGGAAAAGAACTTTTTCCACAAAGTGTCTATGAGGCTTTCAAAACCCAATATTTTCATTCTAAACAATAGGTGGGATGCCTCAGCCTCAGAACCCGAGTTTTTAGATCAGGTAAGTTATTTTCCTTCAGTTAGGGCTAGTTATTTTTAAAATTATGTGTTTTACACTGATTGTGGTCAGGAAAAATAAGTTTTATGATTTAGAAAAGGTTAATTTTACGTCATATATTAATTTCATATTTTCCACTTAAAAGCATTGCAATGAACAGGAAGAGGTAAGTTTATTTGTAAGGCTTACCTATTATCTATTTTTGTTTGCTTTAGTTGGCTTTAAAATGAAAAGTTTAAATTATTAATTTTATTTACAGAAATAGCACAAAGCTATTTGTGTGTATTTTGTAAGTCACAATGGCCTACAATTTTATTTCTTTAAATTAAGATAAATTAAAAATAGTGTCACACAATTTGAATATGGGGTATTTCCATTGTGTGCGACACTGAAACTGCGTTTTTTCATGATAATAAAGTGTTTGTTCATATATATCAAGAAAAGTTAATATACAAAAAAATGTATAAAAAATTAGATATTTAATTCAAACAAAATGTCAATAAAAACTTGCATAAAATTTTTTTTATGACGTCATGAATCGCGTAACGGGCGCGACCTTAGAAAATCGGCAAATGCGACCAAGTTGGCTTCTAAAGTTGATACTGTAAAATTTTGGATAAAAGCATATACCCTAGTAATAATTTTTTGTATAATACTTGAATAGTAACCTCAAACAAGCACGTATTTTAAATGCACAAATATTGTATACTTTATTTTCTAAAATTTTCTAAAAATGTAACGGGCGCGAAACTTTTTATCGAGTATTGAAACGTGTTTATTCTTAATGTTAGCTTCTTAGCATCACAATGTACGAATATTTAAGGTTATAAATTACGTCGCAATTAAACTATTTTACTTCATATATTGTTTTTATTTTGTTAAATAACACATCTGATTTAATACCCTATGGCGAAATAAAACCATATTTTTTATCAAGCTTTATTTTTAATAATATAACTTTATTTAAAGCATTTTGTATTTAACTGCGCACCGCTACATTGTTTTCTTTCAAGTCAGGTACTAAAATACTAAACGAAAGTAGTGCTGCCAGTTTGACTAATAAAAATTAAAAGAAGTCTTTATTCAATACAAAAGATATGCATAATTATGTTGCAGAACCGATTAAAACTAAAATAGTTATTTTCCTAACAAGTACACAAAGTTTATTTTCACGCATGCTACTGCAATAATTGCGGAAAGTTGCTACTAATATTTGTGTATTGAATTATTTTACCAATATTTTTTTAATTAAAAATACTATTAAAGGCTTTATGATTTAATAATCTTATTCCTGTATTAAATGTATATGACAGTAGAAAAAAGCATTTTCAGAAAAACATATTCTAGACAAAACAATCAGACTTGATTTTTTTCTGTTGGTCAAGTAAACTGTTCTTGCAGAGTATTTTTTAATAAATTGTGGCATGAAAGTACCAAAAGTTTGGGTTGGATGGCCATTTTTTTGTTGAGATTTTTGGTTAAAAAACATAGTTTGTACCCTTACTATGTTTCTAACGAAAAATCTCAACAACAAAAAAAATGGCACATACCCCTTGTACATGGTACTATTACTATAAGTTTAATTTTATTTCAATGTTTTTTCATGGATAACTTGACAGAATAAATTTTTGTAGTTATTATGCATATTTCTACTTAACATTTTTCAATAAAATTTAGTAAACGGTCGTTTTAAGGTGTGGTGAATCCAGTGCCGTGCTTAGATTTTGTTTAAAAAAAATCGCTAATATGAATTCTTAAAAATTTACTCTTAAAAACGAACATAGTAGGTATTGTATAATAAAACACGCCATATTAGTACAAAATACAAGTTGTATTTTGTACTAATATGCACAATAAATAAAGATTTTAAAGGGGTTAGTCGCAAACAAATGGGTCACACTGTATATCGTTATCCGATCGGATATAAATCGATATTTATCCGATATTTTTATATTTATATAAATATCATATTTTTGAACCCTGGTTATATGGCATATTAAATATGTAGTATAAAATATCGATAATTACACGTCCGTTAATGATTTTACAATGCTTGCACAGAAAGAGCTTTAATGCTAATTATTTACTTGTTACATTCACATTTGCAATTTTTAGTTGAATATGATTTATATCAATCTAAACAGAGTAATTATATTATTAAATTAATCATATACAAATAAAAAATATTTCCAGTTAGTAAATCCTGACGAAGCTTTGTGCAATATGGTCATTAATTGGTTTAATATATTATATGTATGCAAGCTTATAACTATTATTTATAAAATAAATCCTGACCCATTCAGAATTGCTTTTTTCTAAATATTATCATACTAAGCAAAAATGCACACTATATTTTCTTTAATTTGCGCTTTAAACAGGTAAGAAAGCAACATCAGGAGCGCGCCATTGACTTTCTTGTAAAAGAGCTGAAAGTGTGCACCCCGAAAGAGGCGGAAGAAAGGATATTCTTTATATCCGCCAAGGAGGTCCTGCAAACTCGGCTGGCCGAGCAGGGCCAACAAACCACCACGCCTCTCACGGACGGTTTCCAAAACAGATATTTTGAGTTTCAAGATTTCGAGAGAAAGTTCGAGGAATGCATCTCTAAATCAGCCGTAAAAACCAAGTTTGAGCAGCATTCGCAAAGAGGGAAATTCATTGCAAAGTAAGAGATTATTTTTTAAACGGTGTTTTTTCTTAGCAATTTTAAATGTTTGGAGTCCAAAATTTAATTTAAACAATATTATACTAAAAAATGTTTATAATTGGGAAAATCATTTTATGTTATAATTGAATTAAATGGTTGATTCTTTACACCATCACAATAATTAATATAATTAATGTGAACAGAAAGTAATGTCTACCTTTAAAAAAAGCTACAAATCAGTTTTTGTGAAATAGATTTAGATGATTTTGGACATTTTAAATTGTAAAGTAATCGTTAAAACACAACAAACGTTTTGTTTTCTTGTTTTAAATACAGCAGTTTATTTTTTACAATTTACAAAATATCTATTTAAGAAAGATTTAACTCAAGAATGTTAGGATAAATAAAATTAATTTATTACTAAGAATCAAAACTTAAGCAAGATATAACTGTCTTAAGGATGTTATGGTTAGGTTAAGCCAGGTATAACTGTGTTTCTAAATGAATTTTTGAATTTGTTTTTATTAGGCTTTAAAAAGCACCCTTTACCAGCAATTCAATTGTTAAATAAAAAAAATCAATCAATATTAATTACTTTTTTTAGTGAACTTCGCGAGATCTTGGATTCGGTATACACCGACGCTATTCGATTCAAGGAAGACAAGATGTTCAACAAGAAGGAACTTCACGATAAAATCAACTACACCGAGCAACAGTTGATGATAATCACGCAGGAAATGAAACAGAAAATTCACCACATGGTCGAGGACGTTGAACAGCGCGTATCGAAAGCTTTGAACGAAGAAATCCGTAGATTAAGCACTCTAGTCGACGAATTTAACCTGCCCTTTCATCCTGAGCCTTTGGTTCTTAATGTTTACAAAAAAGAGCTTCATCTTCACGTCGAAACTGGTTTGGGTAAGAAAAAAGTTATAGTAAAATTTCTGCAAAAATAAAAATTTAAGAAAATCATTAATTTTTACCATTTTGCTGACAAAAATTTACTTTTTAGGTTCTAACTTAAGAGCAAGACTCTCAACAGCTTTAGCTTTAAATATGGAGGCGAGTCAAAGAGAAATGACGGAAAGGATGGATACATTAATACCGGAAAATAAAAGAAACACCAGCAACATTATATTACCCAGAAGGCAACCTTTTGAAATTTTGTACAGGCTTAATTGCGACAACTTGTGCGCTGACTTCCATGAGGATCTTGAATTCAGGTAAGAAATATTAATTGATATCAAACATAAAATTGGGATTACCAGTTGAACTAAGTTTTCTTATTGAAAAGTTTATACAATAATGATTCTTGAAGAATCACAATCTTAGTTTTAATTAATAAACATAATGGTATCGGTTTAGGCCCATATATATTCTAACTTTAACTACTATAACGCAACAGCGCGTGTTATAATTTGATTGCAGCACGGAATTTCATAAAATGTATTGAATTTAAACTTTGAGAATTTGTTGTTATGATTCTAATTATTAAGACCATGATACAAATGTTGAATTTTGGTATTTTCGTTTGATAATGATTTTACCATTTTGTCACTTTGAATGCATGTTTGGTGTAAAAAGGGTAGTATCTTTTCTTTTAACAAGCAAGATATAACTAAGAATGTGAATTTAAGGACAAAAAAAACCTTTTATGTAACATAAAAATTTCTTAGATTATTGGGGAATTTGTTGTTATGATTCTAATTACGACTATGCCTCAGGGTATTATTAAGACCATGATACAAATGTTGTCAAAAATTCGAAAACTCCCAAGCACTATCTATATTTGAATTTTGGTATTTTTGTTTGATACAGTTTTCACCGTTTTGTTAGTTTGAAAGCATGTTTGGTGTAAAAAGGGTAGTCTCTTCTCTTTTAAGGGGGGGGGGGTAAGGTCAAATCATACGAAAAAAGCCAAGTTTTCGTGATTTTTTTTCTGACGACGCAGTTAAAATTTCTTTACTCAACCAATGGTACATTGAAGTGTGACATTCGAAGAATGTTTCATCAAATTTGTACAAAGAAATATTAAAAAATACGGCAATGGCAGCAATTGTTCGGACATGTCTCGAAAAAAAGTTGAATTGCGGTGCCCCTCATAACTTGGTGCTGGATCATCTGAAATCAAAAAATCAAAGTTCATTCGTTAGATAATAGTTTTCCCCAGGTAACGCTGTCGAGTTTTTTCTTTTTTTCCATTTTTTTTTCATTTTTTCGAACACTTTGAAGTGAAAAACACAATTTTGTGGGAAAAAATCGGCTAATTTGTTATTGCGAAATCAAAATTATGAACAAAAAACAAAAAAACTCGACAGCGTTACCTCGTAAATGATGTACAGAAATAGTGTTTAAAATTTCAAAAGGATCGGTGCAGTAGTTTTGGAGTTATCAGGGGCACCGACTTTGAAAACGTGAGTTGTGGGAAAAAGGCTTTAAAGTTTTAAACACTATTTCTGTACATCATTTACGAGGTAACGCTGTCGAGTTTTTTTGTTTTTTGTTCATAATTTTGATTTTGCAATAACAAATTAGCCGATTTTTTCCCACAAAATTGTGTTTTTCACTTCAAAGTGTTCGAAAAAATGAAAAAATTGGAAAAAAAGAAAAAACTCGACAGCGTTACCTGGGGAAAACTATTATCTAACGAATGAACTTTGATTTTTTGATTTCAGATGATCCAGCACCTAGTTATGAGGGGCACCGCAATTCAACTTTTTTTCGAGACACGTCCGAACAATTGCTGCCATTGCCGTATTTTTTAATATTTCTTTGTACAAATTTAATGAAACATTCTTCGAATGTCATAATTCAATGTACCATTGGTTGAGTAAAGAAATTTTAACTGCGTCGTCAGAAAAAAAATCACGAAAACATGGCTTTTTTCGTATGATTTGACCTTACCCCCCCTTAACAAACCATATACATATATTTAAGAATGTCAATTTAAGAACAATATAATAGGGTGTCAAAAAAAAACTTTAATGTAACATGAAATTTTTTTAGATTATGCAGAAATTAAAATTTAGAAAAAATCCGGTAAAAGTATAAATTTATACCATTTATACCGGTTGGAATTTTATTTTTGTAGTCAAAAGAGCCTAAATTGAATAGTAGGGCAGTACAATTTAGCCGGTTAAGGCGGCTAAAAAAGTTAGCTAAGTTAATTAGCTAGCTAACTGATCAGCTTAGATAATTATAATTTAACTGGTTAACTAAATTAGCTTAGCTAATTAGCTGGCGGCTTAATCGGTTAATCTAGCTTAGCTCAGCTAATTAGCTAACGGCTAACCGGCTAAACCGGTAGTTTTTTTAAGCTATATAATGCTTTTTTATTCACGGACAGTTTCAAAAAATATTAATATTGATGTTGCTTTTATAAAAAAACAGTAATTTATTAGGTTAAATAACATATGTTTTTAAATTTTATTTTTGTTTATAAAAATTGTCTTTAAATTAATAAAATAGCTTAAAAAATTAGCCGTTTAGCCGGATAGCCGTTAGCTAATTAGCTGAGCTAAGCTATATTAACCGGTTAAACCGCCAGCTAATTAGCTAAGCTAATTTAGATAACCGGTTAAATTAGCTAAGCTGATCAGTTAGCTAGCTAATTAACTTAGCTAACTACGGCTAAATTGTACAGCTATATTGAATAGTATATAGTCTGGTTTTTGGATTGATCCAAACAACCCCCGCGACGCTATGCTCCGCCAACTTGATAAAAATACTTAACTTTTTTTTTTTACTTATGAACCTTTTGTCGCACAGAGGCAAACAGCTACATAAAAACCTATTTGGCTTTCCGATGCGCTGTTGCTTAAATATATTTAAAAAAACCTCAATAATTTATTTCGAAAAATGTTTTATTGAAATTTTGTAGCTTTTGAAATTTCCTATAAAATGACCATTGGTCCAAATAAAAGTTATTTAAAAATATGTCTATTAAAAGCGCAATTTTATAGATATTAAAACTAAACTAAAATTTTCTTAATTTTTTTTCCGCGAAACAGTGCGACTGGACCAATTTAATTAAGTTAAATAGTCGATTTAAAGGAAATTTTTAAAGCTACAAACCAAATTCCAAAAAAGTAGTTGTGCTTTTTGCATATATTCATGCAACAACGCATTGGTGTACTTTTAATTCCCTACAAAAATTTTCAAAACAAATTTTTTAGATCACTATTATTAAAAAAGTAGTATACTTATCTAAAGAACGCGTAATTTTAACAAAAAATCATAAAAATAAAACTCTCGCCACTCCTTGATTTGCTTTTTCTCTACGTTGCACAGTGTTTCAATTCTGGAAAATATCGGCAAAACCTCAAAAATTTACATTTTTTTTTCAGGTAAATTTTGAGTTAGATGGGTAGTTAATACCTGTCTCCATCCAGTATTGAAAAAAATTATATAAAATACGTAAATTTTGTCTTGTACATCAGTTTAAACTTGACGCTTTCAGTTGAAGGTACTTTACACGCGATCGCTGCGGAAAATTGTTTATTGTTTAAAAGTGAATAACTCGTGTTTGGTGTGTCCGATTGTTATGCGGTTTGATGAAGGGTGATCTTCAAGGTATCTAAAATTCAGATATGTATTTGTTTTTCGTAGATTTTGCTTGAACAACGGGTTATTGTAACCGACAAGATCGGTCTGTTAAAATCGCAAACTTTGAATCGAGCTTTTAGAACAATGGAGCTACAAAAATTGTAATGAATTGTAAGGCATCAGTTCAAGATCCGTTGAATAGCTTAGAGTTTTGTCTATTAAGCCATCAATAAATTAGCTGCCCCAACTTGCCCCCGGCTCTTTAAAACTACATGTTCTTGGGCGCTCAGGCACGGTTGTGGTAAAAAACCTCGCGATTTTAAGGCTATGTCGAGCGCGTATCTGTGTTTTTGCTTTACAAAATATAAGATTTTTTTTATTTCTGGGTTGTGTTCATGAAGTTTACTCGATTCACTCGGATTTAACTCAAAACGTTTATTACAACAGCGGTGTCTAGACTTTCACTTGCGTAAATCGTTCGTGACCTCTTGTAGGTGCGTTAAAACAACTCCGCATGCGCATTGTAATGTGTTAATGTCTAATTTGAATTGTGGTTATTTGTGTTGACAATTTTTTTAGCTAATTAAGAAATCGTTGCTAAAATATTAAGTAAAAGAAATAAAACAAATTTAAAATACTTAGTATAAAATCTGTTATATTTAAATTTTATAAATAAATTTTAAAAGTTTCTCGGGAGAAAACGATGGAAGATGTTTTCCACTGGCTTATGGCATCTTCTGATCCGTATATTTCTAGCTTCAGAAAATTTGCTCCGAAAAAGAGCAAATCTTTGTCCCGCGAAGCAATAAAACTGTTGCTATTTTCTGATGGTTTCCCACGCTCTGCTAATGATACAACGAGCGAATCCAGTGACGGAGATTGTTTAATATATATGTAGGTATTAAATAATATCATATAAATGTACTTATAATAAACTAAATTAAGCTATTTTATAAAAAGATATTTTATTACATTTTAAAAAGAACCTCTTACGGGTTTTTAATTAATTTCGACAATATTTGATAAAAATGTCCGCCATTTGAGGTCCACCATTTTGAATTTTGGAATTCTGATTTCAGATTCATTATCAGCGACCACAAAAACCCCTGTATGGTGATTTTCAATTAATTCCGTCAATTTTTTTTACAAATATGTCCGCCATTTTGGATCTACCATTTTGAATTTTTGGAATTCTGATTCCAGATTCGTTATCAGCGACCCCAAAAACCCTGTATGGTGATTTTCAATTTATTCCGTCAATTTTTTGAGAAATATGTCCGCCATTTTGGATCTACCATTTTGAATTTTGGAATTCTGATTCCAGATTCGTTATCAGCGACCTTAAAAACCTCTATATACGGATTTTTAGGAGAATCCGACTACTCCTTGATATTTTGCCGAAAATTTTGAGAATTGAAACGCGTTGTTGAGAAAAATACTGTCCTTTTTTTAACGAATGTGATTGCAAATTCGCCTTCTGCCTTTTTCAACATTCGTTAATAAAGCTCTTTGCACTGGTTAAGGAATTTACTATTATTGATCAAAAAAATTTGTTTAGGAAAATTTTGTAGAAAAATACTACAAAATTAAAATTTAACTTTTGAACTCATCTTCAATAATTTAGTATCTAGTTCTAAAAAAACCGTAATTTTCACAAAAACTAATACAAATATATATACAAGGTGTCCCTAAACTTATTGGCATAAATTTAGGAAAAGATTGAGCAAATCAAAATAAGACGAAAACCTAAATAAATATTTTTCCTAACGCTGTGGCTCCCGTCCCGAGGCGGGACTTAAGTTCAGTCCCGATTGACGTCATAATTTTAAGATTTGTTATGTTATAATAAAATAATAATAATAATAAATTGTACCTGTATACATGTTATGGCACGTTAGTTACGTCATAAAACCAAACCAACCCAAACTCAACAACGCAACCCAACCGACCCCGCCCCATTGGGCCCCCCCCGCCAAATTGAGCAAAAAACCCAACTAAAATGGGCAAATTTATGTTACGATAAAAATAAAACACTAACAAAGAAACAACAAATTTATAAAATAAAAAAAATAAAAAAAGTTTGACAACTTCTAGTAGAATCGAACCCGGTACCTCTCGCATGCCAAGCGACCGCCCTACCATCTAAGCCATCCAGCTTGACACCAATTTTAAAAGCTCGGGGAATAAAAACGGATTTACAGTGTGTGACGTCTGTCGGGATCGAAGTTAAGTCCCGCCTCGGGACGGGAGCCACATCGTTTTCCTAATTACTTTTGTTTCCAAGATACAGGGTGATAAAGTGTTACTTATTATATCAGTTTTTTTAATATAACTTTTACTATGGTAGTCTTGGAAAGCTGATATTTTGCGAACAGTCACTTACTACCAAAACACATATTCACACATAATTACAATTGTTTGAGTGAACACAGTGTCGTAGAAACGGGGGTTGATTTAAGCTTATTGTCCCATAAAAACTTTGAGGTTAGGTTTTTATAACATTTGATGCAATTTTTCGATTACACAGTTCGGCTACCATTAAAACTGAGTATTCGAAAAATTGCATCAAATGGTAAAAAAACCTAACCTCAAAGTTTGTATTGGGACAATAAGCTAAATCAACCCCTGTTTCTAGTAGAAACTTTCTACGACATTGTCTTCACTCGAACAATTGTAATTATGTGTAAATATGTGTTTTGGTAGGAAGTGACTTTTCGCAAAATGTCACCTTTTCAAGTCTACCATAGTAGAAGTTATATTAAAAAAAACTGATATGATAAGTAACCCTTTATCACCCTGTATCTTTTAAACATACGTAATTAGGAAAAATATTTATTTAGATTTTCGTCTTATTTTGACTTGCTTAATCTGCTCCTAAATTTATGCCACTAAGTTTAGGGACACCTTGTATATACAGTATACAACTTTTTCACAATTAACACTTTATGCTGTGCCATTAATAGTGCAATAAATTTGTTTGGGAAATTTTATAAAGAAATTTTGTAAGTATTTTACTAAGTGAAATATTATAAATAAGTATATTATATAATATAAAAACATGATTCGATGAAATTTTATCTTACATCAAATAAAAAGGAAACCGTCTTGTTTTGGCATTTAGGGGTACTTTTAAAAACAATAAAAAAAATCAATTCTATCGGCTAATCTTAATTATCATACAAAAGAACCATTCTTTACATTTATGTTTTAAGAATTATTTCTTTCAAATGTTGACCGCAACTGCGGCTAACATTTTCGATGACGCGCATTTGAAGTGTTATTTGGCAAATGACGGGAGTAATGTTGGCTTTCAATTTTTCAATCGTAGCCGTCTTATCTACATAGACTTTACGTAGCCCCAAAGAAAAAGTCTAGAGTTGTGATATCACATTATCTGGACGGCCAGTTCACCGGTCCGAACTGTTCAGATAATTGTTCTCGCAATAAAGACATGTTTTCACGTCTTGTAGGAACAAAATGACATCGAGATCACGGGTTCCAATTCCAGGTAGCAAATAGTCCGTTAACATAACGCGATAACGTGCGCCATTCACAGTTATGTTGCAGGCGGCTTAATTTTTGAAGAGATATGGACCGATGATTCCACCAGCAATTAAACCACACCAAACCGTTGTTTAATAATCGATTCGTCTCCGTTCATAACAACTCAGTTACCGCCGCTATAATTTCTTCACTAGGTGCTGGATGTGGTCTATTTGGTCGCGTTTTATCCAATAATGAAAATTGGTTTTACAATTTTTCAATGGTACTACGAATTGTGCGTTTGGTAGGCCGATTATGTGGACCATAAGTTGCTCTAAGCGCACGAAGCCCATTCTTTTCAGAACAATGATTTTCGTAATACAGCTGAATAATTTTTAGACGCTGTGTTGGGCTAAGTATTTCCATAAATACCAAGACAGTTTGACAAACTCACGCGTCATCTGTCATAAAATCCCTACTGAAAAAAGTACCTTTAAATGAATCACCCTTTATAACTGTCTGAAGATGTCAAGCTAGACAAATATCTAGAATGTCAAATATTAATTTTTCAGATTCTCTTATGGCATCACCACCTTGATTCAGAGATACACCGGCGGTGGCAGCGGTATTTTGGCGTTGAAAAACGGGCGCGAAAATCCCAATAGCTCGTTGATCCCGTCGACGCCAACCGACATCGTCGACAACCGCATGCTCTACGCGTCGACAGGCATCGACGATTGGTCGTTGCTGTCGCGTTTGGCGCTGATGGGAGCTGGATCGCAGGGCACCATGGGTTGCCTTCTGGTTGCCGGATTCCTGTTCAAGACTGTTGGCTGGAGAATCATTGCTGTTTCTGGTAGGTGCATGTATTAAAAAATTTTAATTCATTTTTTGTAGGAAGTTTTTTTTTATTATAAATCAATGTTTTTCAGATGAGAACATTTCCTATAAAATAAACAAAAACTCTTATATTTAATACTTTAGGCGTTGACAAATGTATAATTTAAGTATAAAATAAAACAATACATTTTTCCGACTAGTTTTTAAACATTAAAGTTTAAAAAACTGTGCACATCCATTTTGGTCATTTTTAGTGAAACGAAAAACCTGTCAATGGCGCATATTTACATTGAATTATTTGTTATTGAATGCCAAAAAGGTTTACCTATATTGGTATGTGAAAATGTTGGATTTAATTTTCACCTTTCGTACACAAGAACAGCTTTAGACAAAAATAATCTACCGTTGTTTTATTGCTTTATCCATATAGGACAATGAAAATATTTTTCCCATTAGGGCTGTAACCTCTTGAAACCGATACAGCTTGTTAAATAAAATAAACCGGGCTACAACAATATAGCGCCAACAGGGTAAAACATTTTTATTACGTTTTATAAAAAGGAAAGTATCAAAAAATATATAGATTATTTTTGATTGAAGCTGTTCTCGTGGACGAACCAATGCAGCGCAATGTGCGGCTGTTGAAAAGCAGGCTTAAAATGTTTCGCAGTTTGAAAATTTTCTTTCATAAAGATATGTTTAAACTTTAGATATATTGCCATTGACTCTGACAAATATATTTTTGGTCTACCAACCATGGTTTCTCTAACAAGATAGCGAATCTGAAAGAGGGCCGGACGACACTTCCACTAAAAAAATCACAGTCAAACGATCATAAACATAGAATATATATAAATATATTTTGACGTAGATTAGACCTACAGGAAATAAGGAACCGTATATTGTCAGTGAGCCAAGGGGAAAACATTTTTTGGTTTTAAAAATTTTTAAAGATGTATGTGCAATGGGGTGTCCGTTATTTACCAAGTTGGCTGTTTTTAATCGGGTATCGTTTTAATTGGTAGTTTATAGCCTAAAAACAATTTTGAAATTTTCCGATGCCGCTTAACCCTCCATTTTATCTCTATTAAATATCTGAAAATGTTTGTTTTTAAAGTTCCTTGTTCTCCTATAATTAATGTATCTCTTCTTAATTTTGCTTTTAAACCTTTTGAAACCGCTTCTTTTATGTTTTTTATTATTTCATTTGTTTTCAATTCTTCCGGACACAGATCAGAATTAATATATACATGGGCGTTTCTCTATAAACTGGGCAACTCATTGTCTCAAGCTAATATTGTTTAGAAAAATAACAGATCATAAATATTTCGTAGATAACTTCAAAAGATAATAACCTAATCTACCTATGGGGCCGTCCATAAATTACGTAACACCATTTTTGCCAATTTTTGACCCCTCCTCCCCCCTGTGTAACACTCTGTCACACTTGGGCAAACCCCACCCCCTAAAATTACGTAACACTTTGGCTTACCCCCCCTAAACTTAAAAAAAGGACAAAACATATATTTAGTTAATAACCAAAAAAAAACAAAAAATATACTCAGTCAACAGAATCTTAATCTTAAATCAAACAAAAACCAAAATCTTAAAAATCTAAGCTTATTACAAACAGGTAGGTAACAAAATCTTACTATTAGGTTATTAAGAATCACTTAAGCAGTAGTATGGGTATTTTTCAGTCGTCAGAACTTTTCCATGGTGTTGAAATGGCATTTTCCATGGATATTACTTCTATGCTTGCGTTTTCGTAGATATATTCGGAAACAGCCACATTTTCTAAAACATCTTCATCAATCCACTGTAACTCCTGATCTGTTTTATCAAGTTGCACCAAAAATTCCTTTTGTTTTTTAGCTGCCACCCTTTCTGGTCTAATTCTTTTAATATTTGCCTCTCGCCCGCAGTCTTTTTGGTGGCTGAGTATATATTTTAGCGAAGCCCCATAAAGCCCACATTTCTTGCAGATTCGTTTCTGGAAAGCTTCTTTTACTGAAGGACACATGATATCATATGGGACTTCTTTAAAATTCTGAAAGAATAAGGGTGCATTTAACCAGTCCTTTAGAGAAAGAGTACCAAACAAATTCAAGAAGTGTCCTTGTTCTTTAATGGTTAACGCATCTTCATTATACCCTACTGATACTGGAGGAGGCAAGAATCTATTTGGGAAAAGCTCTTTAAATTGGCTTCTAAAAGCCGAACAACAGCTGCGATCATCGCATTTCACAATTTGTAAAAAGTACTGGCTACTTCTCACATTTTATTTTATAATTTAAATGAAGGCTCAAAAGTGTTACGTAACAAAGTCGTAAACCCCCCCTCCCCGCCTCGTAACACTTTGTCACACTTTGAGCAACCCCTCCCCCCCCTTCGCGTGTTACGTAATTTATGGACGGCCCCTATGCTCGACGTTCAAAATCCAATAAAACAAACTTTAATGTATCAAAATCGTTTTTATAGTCCTTAAAAACCAGTCCCCTGACGTGTCACCAAAGCAAAATGGTCACTTCAGACTAAATTAATTAAAGACAGTAACTATTGGAATCAACCTAATTGTTTAATTATTCAACCAATATTGTTTGCTTGTTACTGTGACTTATTTATTTTTTATAATTATTATTTTGTAATTCTAAAAAAGTCATCTAAACTTTGTCCCCGGATTTTATAAACAGTCCCCTGTATAGATTTTTCAGAAAATGCTCAATGTTTTCCAAAGTAATAGGAATATATTTTGGTTCATCTGCCGTATACTAATAAATAGACCGATATTTATTCCTCGAATAACATTTATTAAACACAACAAAAATATAACAAAAAAACTTGCCTAGACAATTTCTTACTTCAAGTTGCCCAGTTTACAGAGAAACGCCCACATATAAGTTTATATTAGGGTGATTTAAAAAAACTTTTTTTTTGTTTTTTTCTCGGAACCACGCTTAAAAGTTTCGTATAGAAGAGATGAGCTCTTAATTTCAAAATTAAGATGCTCCGCATGGCACTTTTCGATTTTCCATAAAAAAATAATTTTTGTTTCTTCTGATTTTTACTAACGAACGATAGGTCTTACTGTAATGTTATTGACATATTTTTTTGTAGAGAATTGAACGCTCTAAAAAAAAGATTTCTTATGATTTTTTGATAAATTTGATCCTTTAATTTAAGGTCAAAGTTCAACTTATACGAAATTTTTGGGTTTTTTAACCTTTTTGGCGAGTCTACCCGACTCATTTAAAAAATTTTGAAATATTTTTATACAGAATTGAACGCTCTACAATAAGACCTATCGTTCGTTAGTTACAAAAATCAGAACAAACAAAAATAATTTTTCCTATGTTATTCTTAAGGAAAATCGAAAAGTGCTATGCGGAACATCTTAATTTTGAAATTAAGAGCTCATCTCTTCAAATGCTCATTTTTATATCTATACGAAACTTATGAGCGTGGTACCGAGAAAAAAAACAAAAGAAAGTTTTTTGTTTTTAATCACCCTAATTTATATCGAGGGCGTCATATCAGAAGGGCGTAAGTGCCACTATGGTCGGATTTGGGTTTTTTGGGCGTATGGTCTTATTTTATCAATCCGCTTGATATATCAGAGGGGGTATAGATTCGTGAACATCAGCCCTCTATATCAACCGCGTATGAACCAATAAGCCCATACGCCCAAAAAACCCGAATCCGACCATAGTTTCCCTTGCGTTTTTTATTTAGAGCTTTTTTTTAAGATATAAGTTCCACAAGTATCTCTTATTTGTGTCTTCCTCAATAAGAGTAACTTTTAAGTCGCCTTCAAAATTTTTTATCATACAATTAATTAGATTTTCTCCAACTTAAGTTTCTAAGTCCTCGTTTGTTTAAGTATATTTTCGTTTAGTTTCCAAAATATCGAAAATAAATGTTATTCGCATTTCGCTAAAATCTCCCATTATATTCCTTTAGTTAATAATTAAACAATTATTGCAGTGTAGTTGCAGTGTGTGGATAACTTTATATTGTAGTTTTTTTGTACAATCTCTTATCAGGTGACGTGGCGATTATTTTGATGAATTTTTGTTTTGTTTTTCTTTTTTGTATTGTTTACGTGATTATTTATTAACTATTAGGTAGTAATTAATATATAATTATCTCTTATTTTTATTTTTTATAAACATAGGTAGGTACTGATGGGTATTTTTTTTTTAAAATGTATGTTATCTTAAAGCAGCACACATCATGATTCAATGTATGGTTTTATGACAGGGAGTCCCTGTATTTGCTATTTTGAAGTCTGACGTAAAATAATAACCTTTGACACTTTTTAATATTGTTGTTTGTTGTCATTAGTACGCAATGTTGCCATTTAAAAAATATGTGTGCCCAGTATTTAAAAAAAAACCTATAATAATGTATTTTAAAAAATTAAAAATCGCATACGGCTAAGGAAAACAATCACAAAAGTAGTTAAGCGAAACGCGTCGACAAGAGAAATTTCTTATTGATACGGATTTTTCCTTATTGATAACGACTGATAAGGAAAAAATCTTAACACAACGTCCACATAACGTTGAACGTTGGTCTCGATGATTTTAAAGTGGTTTACCCCTTGAATCCTAGTCTATGATTTTTAACTAAATACTATTAAGTTAAGTAACTACAGGTCTATTTATATTTAAGTCGGGTGCACTAGAGCATCCAGGTGCAACTAAGCGCAGTGCTTCAGTGCACCCGGTTTAAGTTAAGCTTAAACCGTTCCTTCATTCAACAAACATTGTCTACAACCTTTAAACAAACAGGATGCCTCAAATATATCTTATTCTATTTTCAAGAGCAGGGTTAGGTTAGTTTTTATTTATTTTTATCTCTAAAGCTTAATTTTCATGTACCTCTTGTCTGTTAGTCCTATCATCCGGAAGCTAGATAATGATTTTCAAATCTTTTAACATTTTTTTAATTATGATTGTAAAACGGAGTAATTACGTTTGTTTATTTAATAAGAACGGAAAAAAGAAAAGACAAATAAAAAAATATTTAAACCAGAACTAAAAGGACCTGCTTTTTTAAAACTAATTTAATGTATATTAAGGCTTTAATTTAATGTATATTAAGGCTTTTTTATGGTATATTTACCTACCTTTAAATTTATTAGATCTATCTATTTAATAAAATTGTCCGACAAGAAATGTTCTAATTTTCATGCATCTATGGAACGCCATAGTATTTTTTAATCGTCAGTTAAAAATATCACATTTGAATTTCCGATATCACAAATTCAAATTCTGGTATCAAAAATTAATTTGCGATATCTAAAATTAATTTTTGATATCACAAATTAATTTTCGATATCGCAAATTAATTTCTGATATCAGAAATTAATTTGCCATATCGAAAATTTCTTAAAAAAATTAACAACTAAAAAATATATTTTTTCTAATCCGTATTATTTGTAATTTAAACAATTAAGAAATAACATTAAAATTTTAAGTTTATTTAAATTATTTATCCGGGTATAAAATTAATCTGTAAACATTTTTCAGTTGATAATTTATATGAATTCTTAAGCAAGCCAAATATTTTTAATTCTAAATAAAAAGTTTCGTGGCAATTTTTTAGTACCACATACAAATAAATTGAATATGTTTTTTAATGGAATCTTTTTATTAATTCGTCAATAAATTGATATTTTTAATTCGAATTATTTTTACAGCCCTAAGGTGTTCTTTGCACATGATGTATGTAGGCAACCTTCTAAGTAGGGCTATCCAAATCATTCGAATTAAAAATATCACTTTGAATTAAAAATATCAATTTATTGGCGAATTAAAAAAAAGATTCCATTAAAAAACATGTTCAATATATTGGTATGTGGTATTAAAAAACGAAACTTAAGAATTCAGATAAATTATCAATTAAAAATGTTTACAATTTAATTATATACCCGGATAAATAATTTAAATAAACTTAAAATTTTAATGTTATTTCTTAATTGTTAGGAATAGAAAAAATATATTTTTATTTAACAAGGTGTTAATTTTTTTAAGACATTTTCGATATCGCAAATTAATTTGTGATATCAAAAATTACTTTTCGATATCGCAAATTAATTTTTGATATCAGAAATTGAATTTGTGATATTCGAAATTGAATTTGTGATATCGGAAGTTCAAATGTGATATTGATAATTGACGATTAAAAAATACTTTGGAGTTCCATATGCATCCGTTTTTTAATTACGTTTAACGAATTGATTTGACGACAAATAGGGGCCAGTATATTTACTTCACTAAATATACTGGCCCCTATTTGTCGCCAAATCAATTGAGGCGTTTCTCGGAAAAACATCATTAGTCCAAAATCGTCGAAATTTAGATATTAGCACCAACTGTTTCCTAACCTCCATATATACGTATACAAATAAGTGTTTCTCGTAAAAATGTCATAGGTTCCATAATAATTAAATATGAAATTTAGCTTGTTCTTCTAAAAACATCACAAGTCCACTCCGTTTCGTCTAAGAGTCACATGTGCATAACATGTGACGTTTTTGGACACTCTAGAAAAGCTCTCTACCTCTTTTACATGACCACAGCAATAGAAAATTTTATGATAACTTGATAAAAGACCAGAAGACCATAGCACCTGACAGCCCTGATAACACGGTCGACAACGATGATAACAGCAGTGGATGCGAAGACTGAGTGTGGCAGTAATACAGTTTTTAGTTTTTTCATTTATTTTGTTACTCAGAGTTAATATTTAGTTTGTAGTAAGAAGAATTGTTTGTTTTTTTCTTCTAAAAACCTCACATGTTCATGTATTTTTTGTGTTTTTTTTATATTCGTCGAAAAAAAAACATGAGGAATTCTGGACAAAGTATCTTTCTTTTTTTTACATGTAGTAAATAGGTCAATAAAGTACTTTGGTAAAAAATGGGAATGTCGGAGAGTTTTTTTCATTTTTCCAAATATGTTAATTTTGGACTAATGATGTTTTTCCGAGAAACGCGTCAATTCGTTAAACGTCATTAAAAAACGGATGCATATGGAACGCCAAAGTATTTTTTAACCCATCGGCGGGCGCACCGCGGCACTCCGTGCCGCAATTTGAAATTAACTAATTTATTTCTTAGCATTTGAATCCTCGAATCTTAAGCCCGCTGCACAACAGCCCGGTAACGGGAACGGGAAACTAAACGGTAAAGGTGGGAGAGACTCAGCGAACCCTATCTATCAACAGTGGTTTTTTAGACTCTCCCACCTTTATTGTTAGGATTCCCGTTCCCGTTACCGGGCTATTGTGAAGCGGGCTCTAGTCTATGATTTTTAACTAAATACTATTAAGTTAAGTAACTACAGGTCTATTTATATTTAAGTCGGGTGCACTAGAGCATCCAGGTGCAATTAAGCGCAGTGCTTCAGTGCTTAAGTTAAGCTTAAACCGTTCCTTCATTCAACAAACATTGTTATCTACATGTGCCGCATTTTAATTAATTTATTTCTTAGCATTTTACACCTACGCCGCTGTCCGTCTAGGTATGCTCAAAAGACTATATTTGGCAATAGGCACTGTAATCGCTTTTTGTTGCCACTTCTCAATTAGTCTGAATCTAGCCGTTAAAGTGCTAGGTGTCAATTGGCGGTAACAACACATGCCTTTATCCACCAATGGAAGAAGATTAATTTACGTTTGAGTTTAGATTTAACATTTATTTTAAAAATTTTCAATTTTTTTTATTAATATATTTTTTATCTTGCAGTATTCAGCCTATGCTTAGTTAACTTGGATTTATGATTTATTTTAAAAAATTTCAATTTTTTTTATTAATACATGTTTTTTGAAATATTTCCATGGTTGTATTTATCATTTATAATCTCTATTTGCGGCATAAAATGCCGCGGTGCGACCGCTGATGTAATTTTAAAAGGCGCGCCTGTCGGAGGGTTAATCGTCAATTAAAAATATCACATTTGAATTACCGATATAACAAATTCAATTTCTGATATCAGAAATTAATTTGCGATATCGAAAATGTCTTAAAAAAACATTAAATTTAATTTACCTAATTCTTAATTGTCATAGTTACAATTATGTCAACAAATGTAACTTTAACAGTTATTCACATATAATAGATCTATAATAGATAACTGTTAAAGTTACATTTGTTGAAATAATTGTAACTATTAACTAATTAATTAAGCATTAGGTAAATTTAGTTAAGTAAATATACTGGCCCCTATTTGTCGCCTGATCAATTCGTTAAACGTCATTAAAAACGCATGCATGAAAATTTGAACATTTCTTGTTGGACAATTTTATTAAAAAACGGACAAACGGATACATGAAAATTTAGACTAAGGCTTTCGCGGTCATTTTCTTTGTTAGTAATTCGGTTTGACGTTTCGTTCATTTAGTTCAAAAATCTTTTGCGGTGAAATACAATCCCGCAATTACAACAATTCTGAGTTAGTTCGGTCATGTCAAATAAATTAACTGGAACTCAACCCGGTTATGTCAACTAAAGTTGAACTAAATTAGTAACTACAATGAAATAAAACATTGTTTTCTTAAATTAAACGTTATATTTTGAAAACACATCTAATATTTTTACAATAAAATGCAACCCTTCTATTTATCCATAGGTGCCATATACAGCTGCCTGTACTTCTACGAACGTCTAACTTGGACCAACAAGGCAAAGGAGCGCTCATTCAAGAAGCAATACGTCGCGCACGCTACCAAAAAACTAAGGATGATCGTGGACCTGACTTCTGCAAACTGCAGCCATCAAGTTCAACAAGAACTCAGCGGCACGTTTGCCAGGTTGTGCCACTTGGTGGACGAATCGACCGGCGATATGGATAAAACTTTGAAGGAGCTGGAATCCGAAATTGCAACGCTGGAAAATGCCAGTAGTAGAGCTAAAGTTTTAAGGAATAAGGCAAGCTATTTGGCTCACGAGCTTGAGCTGTTTGAAGATGCCTATCTTAAAATACATAATTAATGATGAATTAGAATTTTATATGTTAAATACAAGGTGTACCTGAATGTTTTTCTACCTTTTAAGGCTGCATAATTTATTTTTAATAAAATTATTTTAAAAGGGTAAAACATGCTGGAACATCCTGTATAAATATAATAACCGGTGATTTTTGGACTGGTTTTACTTTAAATATGTTTATTATGAAATTGTTACCTAATCATGTCCATCAATCCAGTGACTTGCGCAGATTTTGTTATTATTTTCTGCGCAAGTGTACCTATTGTATAGTAAATAATTTAAACCGTTAATTCTTATTTATGGTTTGTTAAAGATCTTTTTATTGTATAATTATGTATATTTAGTTGTTGTGAAAATATATTGCTTTCACAAAAATTACTTTTTATTTATTTTTTCCTCAAACGAAACTAAATAAATGGTGGAATCCCTAAAAATAAATAAATTAAAAAATAATATCCTTTAAGGTGGGTGCTGTAATAAAATGGTAAGTTAAGTATAACTAAAAGTAACTCATTTAAATTTGTGTGTTCATTTTTAGCTAAAGTGACAATGAAAGAGTAAAACGCAGCAACTGGTAAGTGAAAATGATTAATATTATTTGTCCCATTATAACACTTCTCTAAACAATTAATCACCGTGTACAAATTACTTGTTTTGCTTTCTACCATCAATACATGCATTTAGGTTATCAACCTATCCCATACATTAATATTGATTGCACCCTTTGGACAAACAATCCATTTTTGCAACAACTTAGTAGGTACTTATATCTGAATGTATGAATATAAAATATAGAATAAGAATTTATCAGTTCATTGACATGCTTTACCAGAGGTCACATCCTCGGATGTAAAACGTTTTGTATCGCTTTAATACAAAGCAGTGAAAGATTCGGTACATAATTAATCAAGTGACAAGCATACTACTTTTTTTAATGGGAAATTTGTTTAGTCTTTATGCAAGGAAATTGCTTTATTTATTTATTCCATTAAATAAACTAAACTAACAAGTTGTGTCCTCCAAAAATTTGGCATTGTTTGTTTATCTAAAAAAAGTTCGCAATTTTGTATTTATTTAAATATATTTTATAAACTTTTTATTTATAACTGAGGAGTGATTTTTCAAAAGGCCTTATTTCCATTTTTACTTGAATGTAATTTTTTGACAAAATCCCAAAGGTATGGTTAAAAGGCGAAATATGACAGCAGGTCTGAAGTATTATTAAATATTCATCAGAATTTTTTTGAAAATAATCTATATTGCCCTAACCTATACAGGTTATAGTCATTTTTTAGAAAAATTGTTGCAAATGGAAATACGACCTTTTGAAAAATCACTCCTCAACTATTATAACTATTTTATAAACTTATTGTAATATATAATATCGTCACCTAAATGTGTAAAACTGCCAAGTCCATTTTTTGCAATACAATTTTCGCGGTACATTTAGGTGACGATATATATTATATTTTGATGCAATTTTTTTTAAATCTTTTATTGCTTATGTACTTTAGCACTTTACCTATTTTTTTTTTTATTTTAAATATTTAAATTATAAAGGTGCAATACTATTTTCTTTGACCGTGCATTCAAAGACATCTTATGTAGTATTGATTGTATACCAATTCCGCAATAATAATTATTGTAAACATTAACAAATAATTAATTCAAAAGTGTAGGCCGAATTTATATCATCGTTGTGGGAGGTAGTGGTCATTCTCGGCCGACTTAAAAGTTACAACACAAACGGTTTTTTATTTCTTATTTATTTATTTTAAACGCGATAATAAGGCAGGCTGCCTTAGGCAGCGGAAGTGCTTACTACAAACTTGTGTTACTAAACAATTATATCAATTATGTTTGTATATAACACAAATAGGACAGGAAGGAAACTATAATTTTTGCTTAAGTTTTGCCCGGAATTTGCACAGTTAAAGAGATTAGGTACTGCGGTTGTAAATTATTTTGCCTGAAAGGCATAAATATATTGGTATTCAAATGTCAATCAAGATTTTAGTATAATCGTTGAGTAAATAAGGTAGAATACTTAAGGATTAACTCTTAAGTTCAATAAATTGATTTTTTAAACACATTTTAATTTGCTTATGTTAAGATAACAGTGAACGAAATTATCATAATTATTATCGTTATATTATAGGGGTACTAATAAACAGTTCAAAAATAAATCCATTTTGTTTAGTACAAAAATAATGAATGTTTAGGATTTATCATATTATGTCCGTTCCCGGGTAACCCTGTACAAATTTTATAAAAATCGGTTCAGCAGTTGCGGCGAGAAAGCCGTTTGTCCATTTATAGATTTTTGAAAAAAAAAGTAGCCCAGGTCCTTTATCAGTGCCAAATTTCATCAAAATCGGCAGTTTAGACGTTTAAGGAGTTTCTCAATTTTATACCCTTAGGGGATGGGGGTGTGCACAATTGTGTGATAGGTTAACCTATCCAGAAACCTTCGTGGGGAACCCACAACATTTTACCAAAGTTTTATCGTTTTATCAAATTTGCTAAATTAATATTATTTTACTAAAAATTTATTATTTTACTGTACATCTATTAAATGACTGAACGTTTAGAATAATAACTTAAAGAATATTAGATTTACTTAAAATACAGGGTTTCCCAGAATTTGTGGGCAATCTCCTGGATTTAGATAGAACACATAAAAATAATATGACAAGTTCTTATAATTTTTTAAATTTTTTTTCCTACGTCCCCACCTACGGAGATACTGGCCCATGAAATGAAGAAAAAAGATCGAAAATTTCAAACCGGTAAATGTAAAAAAAACTTTGCAAATAGGATAAAAATAAATTCAAAAAACATTTTTTTTTCGTAAACAGTACATTTTATCGATGTCGATCAGGAGTAACTTTTTTTAGTATAAGGTTTAAGTTGACTAAAAATATTATGTTGTGCCTTTATAGTACATGGTGTTAAAAAAAAACTAGCATTACTCTGTTAGAGGCTTTAACTTAGAGCTAGTCCGTCCCTGACCAACTAAATAAGCCGAATGTGATTAAAAGTGCCCATTTTAAGGAAACTTTCCCAGTAAACAATATATTAAAAAACCATTTAATTCCACCTAGTAGTTCAAAAGTTATTTAAAAAGAAACGATTTCCAGGGCTGTCCGTTATGGGACCGTATCTCCGTAAAGGGGGCCGTAGAAAAAAATATAGGAACTTGACATATTATATTTATGTGTTCTATTTAAATCCGAGAGATTGTCCACATATTCTGGGGCACCCTGTATAGGTATACTTAAATCAATTGACATTTAAATAAAATACTATGGCATTTAATTTATTTCCATTGTATTGTCGGTCAATGTAATTTAATTGTTTGCTGCTGGGTATCATCTAAATTAAACAATTGTTTTCAGTCTAAAAATAATTCTGAACAAAAAATATTTTCCGATAATAGATAATAAATCATGGTTGAACCCTTCCTAAATGACATTTTAATGACATAAGAAAATATTCATAACTTGCTAATTGATAGACATGCAACCATAAAGAAGGCATATTTTTGTAGAAAATGTAACGCTTTACAAAAGAGGGCTTTTACGAATTGTAAAATCATCTGTTTCAATAATATCGAAGGTCAATGTTTGAAATAAATTAAAAAAACTTTTTTTTCAGAATTTTATTTTAAGTTGGCTATATACTTTCATTTTAATTTTTTTTTTTCATAATAAAAATGTCATACCTCTTAATAAATAGACAAGGCCAAAGGTTAAAATATATAAAATATTATCATTTAGGGTTAAGATATCGAAAAAAAAATATTTAAAAAAATGTTTTTTCAAAAATGTTTTAGACTGTAAACAAAAAGTACTTTTTATTTGGATTTATTCCAAATTTAGACCCCGATATTATTTAAATGGAGGGTTGTACGAAAAAAACATAAAAGGCCCTCTTTTTCAATCGTACAATAATTTTCATATTATAAGACTTCTAGATATTAATACTAGTTCAAAAGTCAAATTATTATTAACGTCCGTACAGAAATAAAGCTAAAATGTCATCATGTCAGTTGAACTTAAACTAAAACTAAAAATATTTTATTGTTTCGACCTTTATTGATAAAACTCCATGTCACTAATGTATAACTAGATAAAACAAACACTGTTTTTTGAGTTTCACGAATTTATTTTACATACTACATAAACAAGGCTAGACATGTGTCAAATTTTTTCAAAAAACATAATATTTCTATTGAATTTAGAACCAACAACAATTTGAGTACATTTATAAAAAAAACAATGATAAAACTAAGAAAGATACGAAGTCCGGTGTCAACCAACTACAATGTGCAGACTGTCCAAAAACTTACATAGGCCAAACTGGCCGGAATTTTAAAACCAGAATTAATGAACATAGAAAATCATTTATAAATCAAAAAACAGATTCAACTTATGCCAACCATTTAATTCAAGAAAACCATTCATTTAACCACAGACTGTGCATTTAACAATAATTTAAAATTTTACATGTTGCAGGTACGAAGTTAAATTTACTTGAATCATTAGAAATTAATAAATTAAAAAAATCTGATAGTATCCTCAATGATCAAATAGAAACTTTATATACTTCGACAGGTAAAATTGTCATACTGTACTAAAATTTGTTAAAAAAACCCATTACCTGCATTAACTGGGTTATATAAGTTTGTTATTGGAAAAAGTTTGAAATCATTTCTGAAGAAGCTACTGTGTTAGCGAAACAATTGTCAAAATAAAATTGAAATAAATTCGTCAAATTCAAAAAACTGTTTTTATCTATGTGGTTATACATTAAAACTATGTTTATAAACATGATGTGACAGAATCCTAGCTCAATTAGCCTTTGTTTTCGTGATATTGTGTTAACACAATTGTTAGTATTTTTTTAATCAAATCATTGGTCATGAAGCTATTAGTCCTAATTAACTAAAAAAAATAAATTGTACACATTTATAGAGTAAGTCCCTATTTTTAACGAAATTTTGTAAAAAATTCGACAATTTTCAAAGTTCAAAGGGTTGTTAGGCAAACAATGTTTGTCCGATTTTAATTTTAATAAAAAAATATGTGGATTTATTTATCTACTTTATTGTTTTAAAATTTCAACGCAAACAAATAAAAAATGAAAAAATGACAATCAAAACAACCGCGCGTGTCAAAATTTATATTTAAGATGAAAATAAATTAAAAAATAAAAATTTTCTTAAATATCTCGAAAAGGAACCAACCGAGTTTAAAAAATAATGCACCAAAATTTAGGGATTTAAAAGGCCTTCAAAATAAGGTTTCACTT